CAGTGCATAGGACGCAAGCAGATTTTGGCATCAAATTTTGGGGTTAAAAAAGCACGTCTTATACACCAAAAAATACGGTATTTTTTACTTTCAACTATTAAAGTGGCAAAGGTTTGAAAGGTCTTGGGACAAGATTTTCCATTGGATCTTTTCCTCTATACACTAATCCTTCTCACATGCACACAATAATTTTCTTTATTTTATTTTGGGACCCTTCTTTTTTTAGCCATTAACACTAAAGAATATTGTTTAACAATAAATGGCAGAGAAACAAAATAATTGCAGTACTGTTTTACAATTCAACAGTGACTATAATTACCATCACTTGAAACTTCTTTTGTATGACTTTTATTCAACAAAAATATCATTAGCTCCTTTATATCAACTTTCTTCTAAACCTTTCTTGTTTAATGGACAGAACTCCCATTCCTTCAGTCTTTTATGACTTACCAAATTCAGTTATGAAAATGATTGTGCTGTACTTGCAATATATTTGAGATAGTTAAAAACATGAAACCAGATGGTTACATGTCTAAAAAACTCGGTGATAAAGAACTGTTTTCAACAGTCACCTAATGAGCAAAGTTTTTTTACAACGGAGGCTTGGGTAACATCTTTTCCTGTAGCTGACCACAAAGCCACAATTTCTTTTGTAACATGAGTAAATTAATTTTACAATAAATGAATAATATTTTCTCTTTAGAGTCTGTGATTATTAAACAAGCTTTCTACTCATCTTTTCAAAATTTAATTCTGTGGTACCTAGCTGGGTCCACTCTACCCTGAGGGAATATAGCACCATTGAATTACAAAATTATAGAAAACAAACTTGTTGTCAAACTTTCACTTGTTTTTTTAAACTTATTTTCAAAAATATACATTTATTTAGTCTTAAGTATAAAAATAGAAAACAAAAATCAGTAATTAATGTGCTAATTTAAGAACACTGAATGAAAATTTAGCATGTTTATTTACTAATCAATTAATTTTGAGCATGATATGGCACTTTTAGCATATTAGGAGAAAATTCCAATTAGTTCTTAACAAAACAGTACCAATTTGAATTTTGTAACTTTGTCACAAGTATAATTTTATTTATTTTAGCCAATCATAGTGTCTCAACCTTGGTTGTCATAGCGTGGTCTAACTACACAGTTATGTTTTTTGTTTCAAATGTATATTCCAGTATGCTTTCCAATTCAGCCTTACTGGCCTAAGTAACTGCTTCAATAGACAAAGAAAAAATCAAAAAGAAATGTAAATGTATATATATTTATATAAGTGAATATCAAATGGGTTTAAATCTTATTATGTGCATTAAATGAAATCTTGTAATTAACAATTTAAAAAGTTGACTTCTTATAATTTAGAGATAGTAAAAAACGTTTTTATTGTTCTCCACTCAAGGCTGGATTTAGACCCTTTGCATAATATACATGGCCTGTTAAAAATTCATCTATTGTTTCAAACAATTTAATAATCTTGTAGGGTCTTTTTCAATATTATAACATTTACTGTTGTAAGTTGTATTTTTAATATTTTAATTTGAATGTCTGCTAGAGGGGACAAATCATGATGATGATGCAATATTTCTAAAAAGTTCATGAATGTTAAGGCTGCATATAAGGCATCTGTAAAATCTAGAAATTGTATGCAGTATGTACTATGTAGAAACAATGGAATTACATAAATGTGACTTGGTGAAGCATTCAGTCAGTTAATGAGTATTCAACAAGTGATTCAGTTTAGTGTTAGTAGTGAGAATTGTTGCATCTGTTCAGTTATTTATCAATCATTTAGGTTGGAGAAGTAATTTTATGAAGAAATAGGCATATGTACCATTAGTCTGAGAATTTCTGTGATATTGTATCAGAAGTTGACCTGCATTATTTTTAGAGTTTATGTTAAAAAATTTATATATGAAATTAGGCCTACAAGTGAATATGGCTGTAGCAAACACTTGTTAAAAAAATAAATTAATTCATTATCATTATGTGGACTTGTCTTTGCACCAGCCTTACCAAATAATCCAAAAAGAATGCTGCAATAAATAGAACATTTTACAACAATACCACAAGCAGTAGGTCAAAGCGACACTTGTATCTGCACGTTTACAATATACCTGAAAAATGTAGTTTAATTTTTAAATGTTTCTTAATCATTGTAGTTATATATAATAAGTTTTACCTCACTTTTTTGTATTAGCAGATGATGAATTAATCATTTAAATTCATTGTTCACTTGTATTACTACATTCACTATTTCTTAAAACCTAGTTCCAGTTGTTTATCAGCTAACCTGAAGACAGCACCAAGTGATTGAGAGTAGTTGAAAGCTTGCTCAATAAATATTGAAAATGGAGATGAAAATGCAATTGATCTATTTTTTGTTTTTTTTTATTATTTTCAAATCTTATTTAGCTTTTTTAAATCTCAAACGTAGATAGTATGTCTTGACCCTGTTCCTTTACTGTCACTATCAATGTTATTTTAGCACCTTAGATGTATTTATCAATTTTAGCACCAGTGTATTTATACATTTGTACAGGAAGAGTGTTAATGTAGGTTTATTTATTATCAACCTTATCACTAGAGTTGGACAGTTAATGGAATTTGCTACTCAATTAATTAATTGTTAGGCTTGTTAATCAATTACATTCAGCTACTTGACTATTCTCACATGAGATTGTTCTTCTTATTTTTAAATTTTTTTTATAAAGGTCTTTTTGAACTGCCCTTCATTTAATATGATAAGGCTCCTTAATATACAATAATTTAGGATTAAGTTACCTTTGTTATGAAAATGTGTCATGTATGCTATGTTATAAGAAACATGTAAGAAAGTGAAAATGATATTAAAACTGTTCCATTGTTTTCTCCCTACAAATATTCACAATACTACTAGAACTAAATAAACTAATTCTTTATGAAGAGTACTTGTTCTTTAACTTCATGTGATAAAACTGGTGATGATTTTTGACACAATGTGTGATAAATGATATATAATTCAGTGAAAACAAATTCATGCTGATCCTAGAAAAACAAAGACAATAGTGTTCAATATTTGACAAGAAAATTTGTGATAATACTAGACTAGATTACTTCTTTGCAAAGACTAAAATAGTTCAGCATTATAAAAAATATTAAAATCATAATAATATGAAAAATCTTTAAGTACAGACATTTTAGAATGTTTTTGTAATTCTATCTACAGTGTGAAAAATGTGAAATAGTTAAGAACTTTAAGTATACAAAGCTTCATAATCCATTAAGTAAGAATTTATGAAAGAAGTTTAGAAAGAAGACATTAAAATGGGTTACATTTTAATGTACAGGCTTGAAGAAACTGTAGAAACACATGTACATGCTAAAAAATCAATAAATCAAACAATGTAAAGCCTACTGTACTTGGCAATGTTTAAGTGGCACAAGATGAAAGCTAAACTTTTGTTTTCACTTTACAGTGCTTCTAATCCAGCTAAATTTAGTTGTAATTAATCAGGAGCCCTGTTTGTAAAATTAGGTGAACAACATATTAGTATTACTAGACCATGTAGAGTAATTTCTGACAAACAGATAATTGAGTGAGTTATTCAGCAATAAACATGTTTGTTGAGTGGATAAATAATAATGATTATTAACTTGCAAAACTTTTTTTTATTAAAACTATCTTGCCCTAAGAACACTAGTTACAAGTGTAGCTTGTAATAGGTAAATACCCTCACATTCATGAGTTAAATAAAAGCAGAATGCATGGATACTATCACACATAGTGCACCAAGGGAATTAGTAATAGCTAATGTTTCAGTTATTCCATATAAATAATAATAATCAAATAATCAAAAACCATAGATTATTTTTGTGAGTCATTACACCAATTGGTTAAGCTGAATAACTTTGAATTAATCAAATATAATAATGAAAAATCTTAACAGCATTATTTTGATTACTTAGTTAGTTGGAATAATGAAAAACACTAATTTCAATAAGTTGTTTGTTTTCATGATATTAATTGATTTAATTGGAATTTTTATTAATCAGTTATTGTACATGACACTAATTGATCTAACCAGTGCTCATAGATAATCAATTATATCGAGTTAATTGCCCAGCTCTACTCGTCACTTTTTCTGGAAGAGAGATTACAATCAACTTTATTATCATCATTACTGTTGCATCTGTATATCTATTTATATAGAAAAAAATAACATAAATGTATTTGTTATCAAGCTTAGCATTTCTACAAATGTTTATACAGGAAAAAATATCACACTCCTTTATTTACTATCACTTTGGAAAATTTATTCCCTGTATATATATATATATATATATATTTGTCAAATTTTAGTTTGTTTTACTTTTTTTTTATGAACAGGAACTTACTGAACTGCACCATGAAAATGTTGTGGCATTATTAGAGTGTAAGGTAAGCAAATATTGTGATACCTTCATAAACATTGTAATGTGTTTTGTTTAAGAAATTGCAACTATTTTAAATATTTGTGGACATCGATAGTTCTTAGATAATACTTGTATGTAATGGTAGACTAAGTTTGTCTGGTTTTATGACTTGTTTCATAATTTATTTTTAGAAGTTTTCCCTATGTTATTTTTCTGTTATTGGAAAAATTGAGAGACTGCTACCTTTTACACATGAGTGACATAAGTTTGTTTTTGTTAATAAAGTTTGAAAAAATTACCTTTATACTTTGCAGTGTCTTCGGGGTTAGTACATAGTACATAGTTTTACATACTAGCCCAGAAAAAGTTGCAAAGGCAAAAGGTCAGTCAATATAAAAAAATTATTTTATAATTATCTGGAGTGCAAATGTCATTTTTTTAAAACTTTATATCCCTCTAGTATGCAAATTCTGAAAGACAGTGTGGTTTTATTAGTCTGTAAATAATACAGGGGGACACATTGTAATGGTTATACAAGGGTGCACATGTATTATTACTACTGCATTTGATTTTAGTTAGTCAGCATTCGTTAGCTATTGTATAAAACTTTATTTGGATAAAAACAGGAATAATTATTCCACTTTTTCAGCCAAATAAAATTTTTAAATTGACACTGGCATCCTCCTGTTTATATTATTATTATTATTAGCCATAGTATGTTATAAAGCTGGCTTATAAGAAACTACAAGTAAAGTGTACTTTGAAGTTTAATGTTTATATTTTAAAATGATGATGATTAAGTAAATAATATTTCTTTTTAAAGATTGTCTTTATTCAAAAATACTGCAGCAGTGAAATTGATTTACACACAAGAATATGCCAATTGCTTAAGAAATATTTTGATTATGCTTAGTTAGTCTACACATAGTGTTGTCGCTTACTTTTGAGAATACATGTAGAGCATTATTCAGAAAACTAAAGCAGAATGTTGAGCAAATAAATAATGTCTTCTTAAACCTGCAGTTAATTTTTTTTGTTTTAACAGTCATTTATTTTTTTACTTAACAGTGCTCCAGTAAAACAATGGTGTTGCATATTTGTTTTATAAACTAAGTTTATATTCCTTCATATGATTTAAAATAATTTTAAGGTATTAGCAATTATTAGACTTTGAAATTAAGCCAAACCTCTCTGTATGGTAAAAATTCACCCTGTCTGACAAAGTATCTAATATATTTTCTGCTAAACTTTATGTGCTTTTTTGGTAAGTTTTATATATTTTCTGTTACATTATGTGTGCCTCCTGTGAATGTATATGCTCAATGTAGGCCTACTTTTCTAAGATTACCTGAATTTTCTTTTCTGTTCAGCAAGTACTTGACACTGAAAGAAATTTAGAAGGAAGAGATTCAAATAATTAATATGTATCTAAGTATTGGTATAAGGTTAACAAAACCCGTAAATTCAGTTGTTAGCATTCAGACATTACATTTGCACTAAAGCCCAACTGATTTCATGCTTATTTGTTTTTATAGAGATTTATATGAGATTCATTAATATATTTTAAATTCAAGTAGGTTAAAGTGTTTGTGCATTTAGGGTATTTTATCCAAATTTGTATATTTTAGTTAAGCGTGTACTTTTTATGCTTTTATATTTGTGAATAAAATTAATTAAGTTTAAGTTCCAGATCATTGTTAAAATTATAGAAATGTACTCAGATTAAAAAAAAAAGGTTTATTTTGTGCTCGATACAATCACTGTTGACTTATATTCACATTTTCTGTCTATTGTTTGTGTTTACAGTATGAAATTCTGTTTTACTTTTTATAGATATGATGTTATTTTTTACAGGAAACCTCGCACCATGTGTATTTGGTTATGGAAGTAAGTTATTTTTACATTGAGTGTTTCTAAAATTAGAGAAATTTAGTAGTGTTAATTTAACTTAAGAAGTAACTTCAGTATTTGAAATGTAAGTATAATGTTGCTAGGATGGATACTCTCCAGAGAAGTGTGTATATTATGTATAAAATATCAGTTTATTGTAATTATAGGTTAGGTTAGCTTCAGTATAGAAGATTTTAAACAGTACACTGTAGTTAAATAATACCATGGAAAGATAAAACAATATAAATGTAGGAACAAGCCACTGGGGATATCACAAATAATTAATTCATGAAGTTCTAGTATCCTCTGGCTAGGCTTGCATATCCGTATACATATGTATCATTACCAAAACTAAGATAAATGTTGGAACAAAATTGATACTGTGATCATTAAGGACATCATATGCATTGTTGCAACCAAGTTAATATATTAAGAAAAGCTTGAAATGTAACCCTCTTTATCTATGTGGGCCTGGTCATTTTAACCAACCTTGTAACCATGAAATTATACATATTACAAATTTTAATGTAGTAAATTTAACTTCACAAACTTTTGGCAAGCTTTTAATAAACATTACAAGTCTTTTGTACACAAGAAATTTTTTAATGTAGATTTGTCTGTGAATTTATGGAGTCAGAATCATACTGGTCTGGGTGCAAGATGATTTTCATGTTAAGATTAGAAATACTTTTTTTTCATTTTACAGTTTTCAGCTTTCATTTGCTTAACCTCTAGAACCTTCTAAATGAATATTAAAATTTTTTCAGTAAAACTTTATATTTAATCTTCTGTTCTATCTACTCCAACACTTTGTACAAGTTCAATACATTTGACTAACTTTGTAACTACCACATGAAAATGTGAAATAAATCTAAAATTACCATTTCATTTTTCTTAAATGACTGCATTTGGTAAAGATAATTATACACTATTTATTCTTACAGCCAAAGCTAATACAGTTCCAATGTCCCAGTCATTAGATTTATTGTTTTGCTGCCACTTAGATTAGCTCCAAAGCAAATTATCACACCAGGGAAGCTTTATGTAAACACAGCATTGATTTACTAGCATGCTTGGTCAGATTACAACATGCTGCATTCACAAGACATTCTTGTGCTGTTGAGTATTTTCTTGTTTAATTTGTTCATTTAATTTCTCTTATCTAACCTAATAATTTTCTAATTTTTACATTTCAGTTACTTTTATGGCAAAAAATATATACATAAAAAAACAAGAAATTTAGTATTTAGTATTTTTGTTTGCTCTTGAAGTCTCAACAAAAGTTTACCCAATTTTTCTTTATGGGTATTAGTACTTTATTTAATTGTTATGTATTTTAAATATGCAGTTTAGAGCACAAAATATTTACATTGAAAAAAAAAGCACTGTCCTAAAACTAGTATAATTGAAGTGGCTTTCTAACAAAATTATATATGCATTAATGTTGGATATACGAGACTGTTCAGGTTAAAAGTTAGTATTTAGTTTATTCAGTGATATAATATTTTATGATTATTTAGTTTTCATAACAAGAGTGTTAAAATTTAATTATTTTAAAACCAATAGTTATGACAAGTTTCATTATGTAACCCTGTACAAGTTGTACATTGTGTATGCAGTTTAATTTTTGTACTAGGCTTTTGTAATATTGTTGACGTCATCTTACTTGAAACTTTATTTTTTTTTCATTATGTGTAATAGTGTTGTTACTAGAGGACTAGAAATTTCTAGATTTTTCTGTAAGTAAGTTAGTAAAAGTAAAGTTAGACTGCATGATTGTCAGTTTAGCTGTAACGGGTGATTTATAAAGTGAGAGTTTCACAGTTTGTGTTGTAATAACAGAGATAAAGAAGAAGAATTTGTCTTGTTAAAAGGTGTTCTAAAGTAATTAAACCCACCTGTGTGGACTTTGATGAAAATGAGACAATTATCTAAAACTCTAGATACAACTGTAGTAACCAACAGTTATAGTGGTAATTTTGAAGTGAATTTTACAGTTTGTATTGTAACAACAGAGATAGAGAAGAATAATTCATCTTGTCATTTGGGTTCTAAAGTAATTGAACCAGCTTGTGTGGACTTTTGATATAAAAGGTAATTATCTAATGCTCTGAACACAACTGTGGTAACTCACAGGGTAATGTAAGTGAATTTATCACTGATTGTGTTGTGATAACAGAGGATAGAAGAAATGATTCATCTTGTCAATTGGGTTCTAAAGTAATTGAACTCACCTGTGTGGACTTTTGATGAAAAAGATAATTATTTATCTGTTTTGGCATGGGCTTGGACCTAGGGACCAACCTTGTAACCACTTTGTGCTTGTTATAGTTTTCATGCTATAAATTTTAAATTAGTAAAATGTATCTTCATGAAATTCAAGATTATCAGTAAACACAAAATTTCAGATTTTTTTAAAATTAAGTTTAAGATTTTTTAAGTAATGTTTTACCAATGCCTTTAATCTTTTTGAATGTTGACTATCCAACATGCAAAGTAATTTTGATTTTAAGATTGAATATACTTTTATGCATCAGAAAATTTTCAAATTTCACATGTGAAATCTTTATAACCTTGAAACATAGAATAGTAAGTAAATCATTTTAGAAAATAATGATCTCCATTACTTACAATGTTTTGAAGTCCTTTTTTGCATTCCTGAGTCGTGCTTGCTAACCCTCATCGTAAGCCTTGTCCAAATTCACATATTGATGTAGTAAAAAAAAATTTGTAGACTTTATATATGCCCATCATCTTTACATTTATATATATAGCGTGTAGGTCTGTTATGACAAAATTATTGTTTAATTTTCCAAACCTATAATCTTGTAGCTTGCAACAACATTGCATTATGGTATTTGTACTGTGTGAAGACAAAAGTCACAGTACATTGTTCAGAAGACTTAAAGCCATTTTATTCCTATAATGTACATTAGGTAGCATAGAAAATTGTAATGTTTTATTGTGAATTCTAATTTGGAACACATTAAATCCAGTTAAAACCATGCTCCAATTCAACCGTTGCACTCATGTTGCAGTATCAAATAATATAAAACTGATCTTTGGTCTGTACAAAGTAACTTGTCTTGGCTTTGTTTTAGTAGACTAGTATTTTGTAAAATACAGTCAGCTCAATTATTATACATTATGTATATAGATTATTGCTATTTTGAAGTAAGTTCTTAAAGTTATTTTTCTTAAAACATAGAACAGTAAATAAAGAAGTAAAGCAAACAATTATCTCTTCTAGTATGACTTTCTAGTATCTCTTCTATGACCTTTGTACTCGGTTGCTAAGTCTTTAAAAATTTTTGCATGTGGAGGATATGAAACAAAATAATTTTTGTTAGGTTTATGTACATTTGAATAACTAACAAATTATAATTACTACGTCAATAGAACTCCACTATAATTTATCAAGCTTAGTAACCAAGATGTATTTTAGTCTAAAAAAAATGAAATTTTGAGCAGATTAATGACACACCCTACCTCTTTGAAATATTGGTTCAAAAGAAAGAAATGGTGTGAAGCCTGTTAAAATGACTGAGAAAGCCACTAGGGGGACATTCTGTTTCTAATTGGTTATTCATGTCATATATAAAAGTGAGTGTATTTTAGGGAGTGTTTCCAAAAATGGAAAATGTTTGGCGGGGTGCCACTGTGTTCATTTATTACATGGCCAATATGTTAGCAAATACAAATG